TTTCCGCCACCTACAAAAGATGGCTTAAAGTCTTGACTATCGAATGGTGAAAATGGCAAGCTTTTATTGTTTCGTTATTGAGTTATTCAAAAATAGTCAGGACATTATATTTTGAAAACGATAGTAGGCAAATATTTATATGTTCATAACTCTGCTTTGTCACCTATCGATCGGATAGACTATGAATAAAGAGGAAACTGATAATAAGTCTAGCTAAATCCATCTTGACAGTATTTTAAATGAAATGCATAATAATAATTACAGGATAGATTTCTAAGCATTGTTTTCTCAAAACTCGGTATGAGTATCTTGATGTGATAATTTGGCTCCGATATTTTCATCACAAACAGCCGGTGTCTCAAATATCATAGCATATTCACATTTTGTTGGTTCTCGTACATCGATAGCACGGTTCTCTATGCCACATCGTAGATGTATCTAAAACGAACGAAAAATGCTTGTTTGCTCGTAAGCCAGAAGCAGCCTTTCTTCATACTGTTAGAGATCTTGAAGGTCCATTCCAACATGATACACCATTTGTATATTTCATAACAGAATACTTATTGGGTTCAGAACCCCATGATTCCCAATATCTTAAATTAAAAAAACAGTTAAGATAAATTCTATTAAATTTCGAAGCGAAAGAAAGTGCATACCCAATCGTTACTTCACTTCCGCCACCTTTAGGAATTTGTACTGCACTTTTAAACATACACACACGATACGTATATTCTCTTTCTTCATAGTCGTAGCATTGATCGTACATTATACTAAATTCATCATGCTCACCAAGGTTCATTTCTGCTCGCTTTTGCAAATCCCTTTTTTCACAAAAAAGCAATTAATACTTTATGTCAGTAGTAGGAGAAAACTAAATAAGATACGCACTCGATTTCTTTTTTAACATCTCGCACTTTTTTCTCTGCATCCTTAAAATCATTTCGAGCCTGATCAGCGACTGAAAAGAAAACGTAGAACAAGAGTTTAATGAAAAGATATAGCAGAATACTTTTCAAGAAAAAAGATCCTAAGAAAATGAACGTCATTAGTGCAGATATTCCACTTCATCAATTCTCTAAATGTGAAGTGATTAAATGTCAGTCACTTGAACCTAGGCTATCTCTTTCTTCCTCTACTAAATTGGTTAGTAGAAATTTACAAAAAACATTCTTACTCTGAATAAACTTCTTTGTTTCATCATCAAAGTCTGGTGCTGTATCATCATGAACATGTTTTGTATGATCAAGAGACTAAAATCATAGACAGCTAAATTATTAAAATAATTTTATTATGAACAGGTCATTTTTTATCGTACCGTTGGTTGATCAATATCATCTTTAGTATCGATATCATCTAGATTATCGTCCATATCATTTTTGTCATGTGCATCATCATCCACTGAATGCTCACGTTTTTCTTCGTCAGATATGCCATGGTCTTCTTCCGTTGATGGTTCTGGCGTTGCTTTGTTGGATTCCGTAGTAGAGACTTGTTCATTTGTTACACTTTGTGTAATTTTTTGATAAGAATTTGAAATTTGTTCAAATACAGTTGAATTAAATTCGTCTAATGTAACCGAATCTGCTCCTAGTATAGTCTGAAATAGGAAGAAAAGTGTTGATAAATAATAATAAAATATTTTTTATATTAACTAACTTTAACTTCTTCATCTGTAAAGTCGTTTTCTTTGTCATTATCAAGCTCGGTATGAACCTGAAGTTCCTTAATGGATACTCTAAAGAAAAAGAAAGACTTGTTTAAATTTTTCTTTTTTTAGTTTCGATAACACGTACAATTTGTCTTGATTGGTATCCAAATCATTAAACATATCTTGCATTTGTTCATCTCGACGTGCTAACTCACGAATAGCTCGTTCTTCTAGAAAAACAAAAACAAATTTTATTAAAATAAAACTGTCAGTTATCTGTGTACAAAAATAGCATTATGATCTATATCTGAAAAATATAAAAATCCAAAGACAAACCTTCCCATGCTTTCTGATGTTTATCTTTGTGTGCCGTTTCTGGTTCTTCAGCTTGTCGTTTTAGTTCTAAAAATAAACGAGTATTATCAAAGATAATCAATGTTGAAAATATGTATAGTCATAATACCTTCTTTTTCATTTAAATCAGTTTCAAGACGTTTTAATTGTTCTTCGAGTTCTTCTAAACGATTCTAGAAGATAAATGTTAAAAATAAATAGATAGAATGATTTATTTTCAAAAATCAATACAAAAAATCAAAAATACCTTTCTTTCTATTCTTATACTACCAGCTTTAGCAATCATTTCATTTTTCTTTGCTACACCTTGTTCATGTAATAAACGTCGTCTCTCTCTCTCTTCATTTGTTTTCTTTGCTAATTCGCTAAATGAAAAGAGGAAAATATCATTTTATGAAATCATAAATATAGATCAAATTGATGATCTACAAAATCGTTCGTTTGTACTACTTAGTTGAATAGTATCTGTTTTGTACAAATATTTTCGCCAAGATAACAAAACGCTACTTAGAAATTTATAATTATTTTATACTGCAAAAAAATTTTTAAAACATATGAGAAATAATCTCTATTTATGTAGACTAATAGTCGAGGAAAAAAAGCCATATACACCTTATTATTGCTGTAATTTATAATATGTTCAACAAAATCTCTTTTTAAGATGAATAATGTTTTCTATTAGTCTCCAGTGGTATTCATCATTCTTCAATATTCTCTTAGTTTACAACAAAAAGAAAAAGAATATGAATAAACGTGAAGAAATTGAGTAAAACAACAACAACAACAAAGAAACAGAAACAAAGTAGAAAAGAACATTATATATCAAACATGATATTTCATGACTGATCGTTTATGTTGATCATGAAATATACGAAAAATTCGTTCACGATAATAATAGAGATATAACATTAAACAGAATAAAAATAGTATGATACAAATTTGAGTTAGATAGTAAAAATCGGACGTTTTATTCTCCATATTATCATAATCATCGATTAATAAACCATGTTTACCGAAATGATGTTTTTCTGTGGTGATAGGAGTAGTAATACTAATTAAATCTAGTGCCGTATTTATTTTCTTAAATTGTTGATGTTTGTGTAACATGGATATATTCCTCCTTGAATTGTTCGAAGTTGTGTTTTTAATAACTGTGCGATAAGTATAATCAAATAATAATTGAAAACGTATAAGATTATGAGAATACATGATCTTAGTATGATTAATAATATCTGGTAACGTTATGACATAATTTGATTGAGAGTGAGGTATTCTGAAGAAAAAGAATGCAAAATACACGTTTACGTATTCTATGGTGTGTTTAATTATTGATTCATTCGTTATTATAAGATAAAAAAATTAGAAAATGGGAAAAAAAAACCAGTATGAGTTAAGTACATTATGCTCACAAGAGTTTACATTTGTGTGAAAAAAACCAGATATCTTGTTCACACTTACAACGATAATAACACAGTTAGGACGATTTATCAACTGGTTTTGGTGCTCGTAATTGAAAACATATTAGATTATGAGTGATTAATAATAACATCTGCCGATATTAATGTATAATTTGATTGTGTATTAGATGTTATGAAGAAAAATTAGCTCGATTCCACTAAACTTCTGCCCAATAACTCGAAGAGCGACATGCAAAAATAACATTAGAATATCAAAACTGAGTACTTGGTTTTGTTATGAGCAATCATCCATTAAACTATTGTAACTCTTCTTGTGAGCACTGATTAGACAAGTAATTCGAGTTTGTGTAATCCATATAAAATTTCCAAAAATAAATAAAAAAAGTAAGTAGCCAAGATAAAAGACATATAATCATAAAAAAAGTACGATAACCGAAGAGACAGGCTTCTTATCAAATAATGAAAGACATAACATTCATTTTCGAAGCTACCCACTGGAGAAAAAAAATCCTGCATTCGTCTTGATAAAAATGCATGTTTTTATATTTTCTACACGAGATTATGAAGTGAAAATTTCTGAAATGTTTTAGAAGAAATGTACAAGATTGTTTTCGTTTTTTGTGAGATGTTCTCAGTTTTTTTATCAAGTCCGTCATATTTCTAAAAAAACTCTTTCAGATCAAGAAGTCATCCGTACAGTCGCATTTTTATGTTAATGCTAATTCTTCATAAACAGATTCATTCAAATTTTAAATGAAACTTTTTATTTTTTAAAGATTTTCTCCCTGAATTTTGAAAATTTGCATGTACAATTTTGGAAAGGTCGATTTTAAAAAAAAACTTTTCAACGTGTAGCTGAAGACTTGCGGTTTTGTATATCTCAAAAGCAAGGTATTCATTTATTTAGCAAGAGTTAGTATTAAAAGAAAAATGCGACTGTACGGTTAATTTTTTCATCTGAAAAGAGTTATTTCAGAAATATGACGGGCTTATTAAATAAAACTGAGGACATCTCGTGAAAAACGAAACAATCTTGCGTGTTTTTTCTAAAACATCTCTTACAGCCAGAAATTGGTTGTAAGATGTTTCTAACAAGCGACAAAATTTCGTTCTTATGAAAACAGGCGACAAAAAACTAGTAAAAATCAAAGACAAAAAATGGCACACTTATTAATATTTAATTTTTTCCACTGAAATATTATTTATACTGGAAACGCCACCAAAATATCATGCTACAATCAAGAAAGCAAAAAATACAACTGGACTTACAAGCAGGTATTGTTACATATAATTTCATTTTCATATTCATCTGAGCCATCACAGCAGTCTGAAACAAAGAGTAAACATTAATCTCTTCAGAAAGCAGGCTTTTCTCATTGTAATAGCATACCGCATACTCCATCACCAACAAAATGAGATGGTATGGTTATACCAACATAACCTTTATTTTCACAAAAAAATTGTCCATTTGGACAAGCCGATGTTCCTGGTTCGTCACTTCCATCTATAAAAAAGATGGAAAATAGTTATAAACAAAATTAACGCTTAATTGTCTATTTACCGCGGCAATCGCAATAATCATCATTTACGAATTCAAATGGTATAGAAATTGTTCCATCCAAACAAGTAAACGGTTTTGACGGTATGTACATGGATAACACTAAAAATAAAAGAAATCAATTAGGTACTGGGAATTGATTCTAGCTAAAAAAACATACATGAACTCTGGATACCACGTAAAATATTCTTATTATTATGACAAAAAGCATCATGGATAAAAAGAAGTAATATTAGAGCTATGCTACGAACAAACATGATGATCGGATGTTCCAAGATCTTAAATAACAAGACTAAAAGTTGTATAGTAGTGAACGCAGAGGCTTTTTTCGCAAGGAATAAACATACTAGTCTATCACAATAGAAATGGAAAGAAAATTTCGATAGCGATTGGTTAATCCCTTGTTTGAATGTCCAAGATTAAGCTACAACGATGCGTGATTTTGCTCAGTCATTTTAACTTATATTGAGCACTGTACCTATATCTGTTACTTTCTCATTGGTTCAAGTCAACCAATAAATGAATAACGATTATGTTTATTGATGGAATCTAGAAACTGAGTTTCCAAGTCACTTGTCAATGTCAGATATATCTTATACAAATCGCTACAAGATGCAAGTTCGAAGTTTTACAGTGTTCGTTAAATCAGAAGAGTTTATCATCACAAGATCTAGCACTAACATGTACAATCTCATTGAAAAGAATTCATTTATACAATAGTGCGTGGATATGAATTGCGCTAATTTCTTATGATTAGAAAGTACAGACTATTTTAAGTTTAATTGGAATACCTTGCTACTCTAACTCGCTTCAGATGCAATATTTATGTCCTAACAATTTGTCTCGTGTTTATCAATCATTTATCCTCACTCTCACCGTCGTTTTGGTCACTAAATGAATTTTTACACTATAGATTGTACGTAGGAGTTAGAGAAAATGTCATGCGGGCAACAGGGAAATACATAATCTATCAATCAATTTTCCATTTTAGACGTAAAATCTTCATGTTGCAGTTGTTATTATCATCTCATTGCAGTACTGTTCTATATCGATTCATTTAAAATAGTTAGTTGAATTTCTGTTTATTTGATTGTTTGTTACCAGAGTCCGCAACGAATCAGGTTTTCCTGATTCGATCCGATTCGGGACAACTGTTTTGGATACTAAATCAAATCGATTCAACAGTTCTGAAATCAAATTTGGTTCGATTCCATTCGGCAAAAAGCCGAATCAAATCGAATGTCGAATTATTCGACTCGTTTCACGCTCTGGCTGTTACATACTCCAAACAGACAGAAAAGATAATAGATTATCTGACTATTTTAGACAGTGATTTCGAATGCTTCACTCTGTAAGTAATACAATAACAAGTTAATATTGGTTCAACCATCAGTTTTCAATTATATCGAGGTTACATGACGGCTTTCATATCGCTGTAGAAATCAAAATCGTTCTTATTTATTAAACTCCAGTAAGAAATAGCGAAGGGTAGAGGAGAGAAAATTGCGTATGCCGAGAGTTAGGAGTGTTAATAGATACAGTAATCGTGATTCCTAAACCACAGGTTCTCTGGGACAGTCAGAAAAGTTCGCGACATGCCATCTTCTCTTGAAAATATTACTGGTAGTTGCCTTTGAGTATATAGTATTCTTTTTAAGAGATCAATGTCAAATTGTTTAGTGTCAGACAAACATAAAATGAAAATAGTAGCTACATCCATTAAAAACAAAAATATTGTTTATCGAAAAGGTATACAAAAAAAATTATCAACGTTCTATAGTGGCGCTGTTAATCAAATGCAATCATCTCTATTAGACAACAGCAAAGTTGTTTATAATTTATCTAATCTAGTACCAGTTCCAGTGGCGGATAGACGGACGATCGTTTGACTTCAGAAATTTTCCATGAGAGTCACATATTGTTAAAAATATTTTATACTAAACTGCCCTCTCTCTTCCAATAGCTGATGAGCAAAAAAACGCACTCACTGAAGAAAAATTCTCAGAGTGTTACAATAAATTTTTATTCCAAGAATCCATCCACTCTCTTGAAAAATTTCTGGATCCGCTACTGAACGGTTCCAAGCAGAGCAGGTACGAGTACTTGTTGTTGTGAAAGCAACAGCGTTCCAGTCTGTTGAGCAAAAGATGCATTCATAGACCTCATTCGACACAGGTTTTGATGTTCTATAAAGTAAAGCGAATTGAGGTCTAATGCGATCTCACAACTCTCAAAACACTTTAAAACGTCTTGACAAGTACAAGCACTTTTGCGATTATTTTGATTTTATGTGCAAATTTAAGCGTTAAGCAAAAGCTACTTATGGGTCACTTTATAGAGCATTAAAACCTGTGTCGAATGTGATTTATGAATGCATATTTTGCTCAACAAATTAGAACGCTGTTGCTTTCACAACATCAAGTACTCACCAGAACGCGTACCTGCTCTGGTTCCAAGATATTCTTTTATAATCGACACAAATGAAAACAAATAATAATAAATTTCGATAAATTCTTTTGTCAACAAGATAGAATTCAAATGAGATGAAGCAGATTGGCCTCACTTTTTTCGAATTCTTCATGAGAGAATATAAATAAACTCAATTTAGATTTGATTTAAAACTTGTTCACTTTCTCTGCAAATTCGTATCTATAATTTTGCCATTTTTTGGTCATTGACAAAACAATAAACAAATCTTTAAAATTCTCCATCTAGTTTATTAATACTTTGTAAAGTAAAACACCGCATATTGTGAAAAATAGTTACTTGTAAACAATGATACAGTAGTGCAAAGTCAAACACATGAGAGATGAAATAGAGAAAAAGAGTAAGTAACAAGAAATCCTGAATTCTAGCGTAAATAAGTTGTCTATAAACCATAGAAGTGTCCAATCGTACCATTTGCTTTTGATTAATCTCGTATACTTAGAATAATGAAAACGATACTAAAGTACAAAAGAAAATAAATTATTTAACGAATTTATAAGAAAATAATAAAATGAAAATATAACAAATTAAAAAAACTGCTACTAAACAATATAAAACTAAAAAGGAATTAAAGCTATTGCACTGAAATAAAAATTCGATCTCCACTACTAGAATTTTCCCAATGATATCTCTGTTTCCACTAAGCAATGCGCTGTTGGACCAAATTTTCAAAATATGTTTCATCGTTATTGACATGAGTTTGAAACAAGCAATAGTTTCACCGGAAATTACAAGTAGAAAAAAAACTAATATAGTAAAACAATCAAAAGTTCTTGTTTATTTGTAGATGTCGATTAAAAAGTGTATCACGACCAATTATTTTTAGTCGGTTGCAGTATATCTTGTTTCATCAGTAAGACTTTCGTATGCTGATGATAATGTTGGTTGTTGAATATTATGGTGAGCATTTTCTTTCAATGAGCCTGAATTATTTTGTTGTGGTTCATTACTGACATTATTGTTTTCGTTCGTCACCAATGAAGATGAAGACGGTATACGAACTGGATGATGTGACATCGATGTTTTATCATCTTGAAGAGAAAGAAACATTTATCACTGAGTTCTGTACAGAAAAGTCAAAATGGCTATTTTACCAGTGTCAGATTCTAAAATTGATATCTCGTGTTGTTGAACACTGTTGTCAGTTACTATCGATGATTCTTTTTGCTGTGCTAGTATAGTTAATGGAGTAGAAACTTGTTTTTGTAGATGATCGTGTGTTTTTATATTACCGCGATACACTGGTTTCTGTTTTTTTGCCGGATTAAAACAGTTACAATATGCACAACGAAACGCTGAAAGACAAAACTGCATTGATTCATGTAATTAAACATTTGTATTGCGAAGCATCAAGCTTACGTAAATATTCAAATTCTTCTTCAAGTGCCATTCCATTATGACTACAACAGTTTTTACATATCATAGCGTAACTAAAAATCAGAATAGAAAACAAAGAAACATTAACACGGTTAACTGTCATCTATGTTCATCGTTTCACCCATAGGAAATTTAAAAAAAAACACAAAAACTAAGAAGTTAAGAAGAATATTTTCTCAGATTTGGCAAGGACAGTGATTTCTGACAGGCTAAAACCAACGGGTGCAGTTTAATATTAACGCGCTAACATAAAATATATTAATTGTAAAAAAACTAGCCAATCACCTTTTGAAAATCAAAAAAATTATAAGTATCCCATCCATCTATAGCGTTCAAGTGAACATTAATACAATGTACCGGAATCGAAATTTCCACCGTTCATGTAATGTATCGTCACAGATTAGCCTATAAAAATTATAAATACAAAGATTTTTCCTCTATTACACTTTATTTGTGTAACAAGCACAGAATGCTAATTGAAAAAAATCCATGAATTTTAACTGCTTCACTTATAAACGCCGCAAAGTATGTTTATTTTTTCCTCTACAATAAAATTGAGAAAAAAACCCAGCGTACCGTTTTGAAGGCCCATCGCCAACAAACGTATCCAAAAGCATACCCCACACCGTTCGTTTAGGAGGTAAAATTGTACGTGGTAATTTTCCAGGTGTAACATCGCCTATAAATAAGAGAAAATTGATTTTGTTTAGGAAACAAATAATCTTTTATACCCGGTGTTGTTATTGTTGTCGACTGTTGTCCTTTAGTTGGAGTTGGAGAAATTTGCTGTTGCGTTGACTGCGTTTGGTCTAGATAAAACGACCAACGTCAATATTTTATGTTTATGTTTGTTATATCAGAAAACTTACGTGCTGCTTGGGCACTTGGAGGCTTACTCACAGTAACACGTTGACGTACTTCTGAAAGAAAATGTTATATAGTAAATAGATACAAAAAACAAACACAAACGAATGGAAGGACTACTCTACCTCCCGAGGGTGATGGTGTTGTGGCTGCAGTTGAATATACATTATCAGATTCAAAACGTCGTATAAGCCCTTGTGCTACATTATATGGCTCTCGTTCTTTCACTATGTCAAGCTAAAGTAAGTAGTAACAATAAAAGAAAAGAAAAGTGTGAACTTATTTGAATATACTAATTCTCGTTTTCTCTCTTTAAGTAATTGAATTCGTTCTTCTGTATAAACCAAAATGAAGATAAATAACAAAAGGAGGAACAGAAGAGGTTTAAAAGTCATCGGTTACCTTTTGCTTGAATAGAAGTACGAAAGTACCAGCAGACAACAGTATGTAAACCATAGATTCTAACAAAAACAAAACGAATAATATGAGAACAAGAATTTAAACATAACGCACACTTTACTTACAATGCACCCATTAAGATACCAAAGACGACTAAATATAACCTTGTTAGATAATTACTTGGTAAAAAATAAGCATAAGAAACTAAATTAATGCCAGTATAAACTAATATGGCATAAATATAAAATGACTTAGTCCATTGTTGCTGTCGAAGACGTGCCTCAGTTAACGATTGTTGAAAACGTCCCAATTTCTGGAGAGAAGAAAAAAAGAAGAGAATTTGTAACAAACACTATTAAAAAATTCGACTTACATGATAAATATTTTCCAACTCTTCTGTTAGTGTCATCCGAAATTTCTTGTAAAATAAGAACAATGTGATCAGATCAGTATAGGTAATTTATATGTCTAGCAGTCGAATTAATAACAACCGAGAAGGGGGGGGACGGGAGCAGCTAATGTTTCTTGTGCTTCCCGTCGTAGAGAGGAAAAAACATTCGTGGGGAAAGCATCGCTGACCGTGATAATCTCTGCAGCATAGTGAGTCAATGATTAATTTCGCCGTCAAATTTTCACTTACAAAAATTCGAAAATTGAACCATCGACTCCAAAACGACATTGCCAATTTGTTCGATATACTTCGGAAGTAAAGAGTAGTCTAAAAAAATAATCACCATGCCTGAAGAAGGTCATAAACAAAAACAAAAAATTATATCACACTAAAAGATAATTCTATACAAATGACTCGAGAGTTTTGTTTTATTTGTAGTACTTGCATATACAAAATAAAGATTTTTATACGTTTGTTTCATAATGAAGACAACAACGTTATTAAACTAACTATTTGCGGTTTTTCATCCGTTTTCATGTCTTTCATAGACACAGCTGTTGCAATCAAAGTGGAAAATAGTGTGACAATGATCGATCACAAATTTTCTTCTTTTCTTCCATGAATTTAAAAACCTTGACTCGTGTTTATATTCTACGCATGGACTGAAACTTTAGCTAAGCGTTGTTTATTGATTAAAATAATAACTAGGAAATTATGCGTGGCACCATTCCACTAAGCAAATAGCTAATAGACACAATTTTTTGAAAAGTAACATTTTCTAAAATATCTATTATCGACAAGCAAAATTTTTTATTCAGCGAACAAATTTTTATTGCGCTTTCCGACACTGATTACTATAGTTAAATCTCTTGATCAAAGAACCTCAGCAGTGTTTGGCAACTCGTCTGCACTAATATTACCTAATTAACTAAAGTTCTCAAAGTTTTAAAAAGTAATGGAATCTTCTATGTGCAAAAACAACGCTTTTTTTAAATAAAACACATTAAACGATTTCAATACTTATCAAACATCTATTTACTAGCACTTTTAATCAAGATTTACACTACGGTGCAAAAAAATGAGTAAAGAATCACACATCCTAATATGCGTGATCCTTCGTATGGTTCTTGTTGCTGGTGAAGAGAAGAAATCTTCAACAATTCGTGATATTAATCAAGAACAGGACGATCTATTTACTCGAAATGAAATATATAATCAATCACCAGAAAGTAGAGAAGACAGATAAAGTAAAATTGGTTGAAGTTATATAACAGGAAGTCTAATGTTGCTATAATCCTAACATCCACTTGGAATTAGTGCAATTCCTACATATTAAAACATTTTTTCCTTTAAAACGCGAAACACGTCGAATTACATATCATTCGATGTACTTCTACTCATAGATTTCAAATATCGCCTATTTGAATAATATAATATATTTTGAATTTATAATGTATTTAATTTGAATAATATAAAATATTTTCTTCTCTCTGGCCTGTCTTGCTATCAGAGCCAAACTAACGTGAGCAACGTTTCGCGACATAGCTCACTGAGTATTATAATCTTCCAACTCGATTCGCTGTGAAAAAAAAACTAAATAGTTTTCAAGATTTTTCATTTCGTATTTATCTGTTCCCAATTTTTTTGCATGGTGAGGTTTTTGCTAAACTTAACGAAACATGGTTACGTAACAGGAAGTCTAATAGTTATGTAAGCCAAAACGTAGAACTTTCCAAAAGGGTTCCTCGAGTGAGAAACAAAAAGCGGACGACCGTTTTCTGTCATTTTAACATCATATCAATGCAAAAGAAACGTAATTAGAATGTGGTTAATAGCGTAAGTTGGGGTAATTCTGAACAGCCTTTTTAATTTTCATAGTATTTTGAGTATTTTTACTCTGAAAAAAATGACACTTCATAAGTGGATAGATAGACCGGACATTTCTCTATCTACTGATGCAGAAATCTCATTAAAGTTCAATAACATCCAGTAGTACTCATCAATTTCCAGATAGCTCCTATCAAATGTCCATAATTATCCCATTTTAGGTAATTCAAGACAGTCAGAGCGTCTCATTGGGGTAATTCTGGACAGTCCAGCGAAAATTGCTGGAAGAAAGTAAAAGAACTTTTTCAACGGCAAAGTTTTACCTTTCTAATTAAAAACTATATCATCTTGTAGAGAATTTTGAGCTATGTATCTTGTCAACTGCTAGTCTTTTAGATATATTCTTGATTAATTAATTAGAAATGACGAAAATTAAAGAACTCAATCGTTTTCTTCATTTTTCTGGTTTGGGGTAATAATTATGGGCACTCAGCTATTTTTCATGGGGTAATTCTAGAGAGTCCGTGCAATTCGCACGGGACAGATAGAAAACAACTTCCATGATCTTTCAGAAACCGATTTTGATACCATGCTAAAGGGTAAAGTTGTTCAGAACCATGAGCTCTATCATACATGTAAACAACGGATAGAAAAGTGTATTTTTACCGTTGCCTGTTGAGAATATGAATGTTGTTGTTTTTTTCGAACGGGCTTTCATTCATTAAAATTAAAATTAAATTAGAACCTTAATTGATAATCAGCTCACGAACAAGCTCAACTTTGCATAAACCTCGTACAATTCTCGTCATGTTACATCAAACGTTTTCTTGGAAATAGCGCACCTAAGGTAAGCTATCTTACTCTTGGAAAAAAATGAAAAGTCCTGACCACTATTGATGAGCGAATTTTCTATCATTTAAAAGAAAAGTAGGTATAAATAAAAATGTTTCGAAAATGAGTATAGCAAGAAAGAAATTGTAGCGGTATGAAAGATGTTGTGCCACTCATGAAAAGTACAGATAAAAATATACCAGTTGCTTAACAGCTTAAAATTAAGTCAATCAAATTCCACAAAAAAAAGACAAGTGCCTCGTTATTCAAATGAAGACTTTCAACTTGCACTCAAAGAAATTTCTGAAGGCAGTGATATTCGTGCTACTACAAAGAAATGAAATATTCCAAAATCAACGTCACATTTACATCATTATGGATGTACCACTCATTTTACGGAACTTGAAGAGATTTATTTGGTTAGTGCTGCAACTGTACTCCAGGTAAGTGTGTGAATAATGGTATTCTCAAGTTTTAGATTTGCTCGTTTTTGTTTAGGAATGGGAAGAACCGGTAACACCAAAGGAACTAATTAAAATGGCAACATATTGTGCTGAAGAATTAGGAAAAGAGAAGTCATTTCAAAATGGCAAGCCAGACATTGAGAATCATCATATACAGATCCACCGTCATGTTTTATTTCGTTCGATCCATATAATATATCAAGTGTGACAGATACTAATTAGGACAAACATATTTTATCAGTACATTTTCTATAGATTCAAACTTTCCGACAACGATAGCGTCGACGAATACATCATTATTCGCCAACGAGCATTCTATTCATCTTTACCGTTCCACTGCTAGTTCATCATCAAGTTTAATATCATTCAATAATCCAGTTCGATTCCTAAAATGTTTTAAATATCAATATCGATCGAATAATCTAATGTCTTATATTACATGTCCAAGATATATATGTTTTAATTGCATTGGTTTTAATAATTTTCAATCCTACTCATGTATATTTTGTACTATTAAAAACTCAAACATACTGGTCGACGAGCTTTGAATAAACTATAACACCACACATAGACAAATATTGATTGAGTGCCGATACCTCTCGTGTTCTAGCCTAGTCACTTTAGATGTTGTTTCGATTTCAAGTAAGATAGCTTACCTTAGGTGCGCTATTTCCAAGAAAACGTTTGATGTAACATGACGAGAATTGTACGAGGTTTATGCAAAGTT